ATAGTAGATTCTGATCCATAAAATCAGATTTTAAGTTCGAAAGTACAGTTATATATGAGAAAGGTTATAACACCCCCACAGCATCCATCAAAAGATGGTACAAATTTGATTTTAAATTATTCAAGTCTTAAATATGTTTATATTTACCAAAATATTTAACATTGAACATTAATCTTAAAATTACCTCAATAGTTTGATAGTAATTTAAAATAACTATCTCACCTCAAGAGTATTCATAGAGACTAGTGTCTCACTCTGAAGAGGCTTCGTCATCAAATTTATTAATGTATTTTATTAAAAAAATTAATAAAGTCCTCCAATAGTTTGATAAGATTTACTTTGAGGTAAATCTCTCAATAGTTTAGTGAGATTTTATTTAAAAAATATTTATAAAACTTTATTTTTTTGAGAAAATTCATTAAATCTCCCAATAGTTTGGTAAGACTTAATTTAAGAAGTAATCCTCTAATAGTTTGGTAGGATAAAAATATTTCTCTTGAAAACTGATTTATGAAATTTTTCGATAGTTTGGTAGATTCTATAAAATTTAAATCCATGAAAAGCTTTTCAATAGTTTGGTGGGATTTATAAATTTATTTGAAAAGATTTTTTTTTTACTTTTCTTCATAAAGAATTTTTGAAAAATATTTAATAAATATTAAGTTACTAAATAAAAATAAACAAATAATAAAAACAAGTAAAATGAAATGAAATAAAAAAATTGAAAATAAAATAAAATAACTTAAAGTATAAAAATAAATAAAAAGTAAAATCAAAAATTAAAATTAAAATAAAAAAACTTGCGATTAGGTAGAGTCGAACCACGGGTGGAGTGCGGATCCTATTAAGGTTACATGTAAATCTACCCACTCAAAACTGATGCCATTTTGGAAGGCTATAAAAGCCAAGTCCTACATTTTCCCTTCAGAAGTCCTGATCTCATCTTTTTCTCTAGCCTCAAACACTCTGACATCTCTCTTAAAAAATAAAAAACATTCAATTAAAAACTAAAAATTTTCATCGGTTTATGGAAAAGTCATCGGAATCACATCGAAAAATTCAAACTTCGTCGAAAACCTCAATCGAAAAATTCAAAAATTCATCCCCAAACCTATATTTTCCCAAATTTTTTCAAAATTCTTTAAAATATTTTAGAAATCCAACCTTGGTCCTAGAAATCCAAAATTTCAATCCCAACATCCTAGAACAAAAACTAGAAATCCAAACCCCTCTTAATCATCAAAATCTTGAATCCAAAAACTCTCAAAACCAAAATATCAGAAACCCAGTACCCAAAAAATTTTCTAGAACACCAAGTTCACTCCTTCTCCGAAAATCAACTGTGTGTTATTCAACTAGTCCTTTGTTCAATTTATAATCACCTTTAGGAGAGTTTCTATGGATAAGATAGCACCAACATAGGCTTGAATCCTGGGATTGGATTATGCTTGAACCTGATTTTAAGTCTAAATTCTTCTTGATTTTTCTGGATTAAACAAAAAATCTTTTGATTTGATTCTGATTAACTATGCAGATTAGATTCCCTTGATTCGACTGATTGAAAATTCAATTTCCTAATTCTCGTTATCGATTGAAGAAAAGAGAAGAAAAAAAACAATAAAAAAAAAAACAACAATAATAATAATATGTACCATAATAATATAATATAATCTACTATAATAATATAGTATAATACACTATACTAATATACTATACTATAATAATAAAAAAATAATAATATAATATAATATAATCACACTATAACATAATATACTATACTATAGTAATATGATACTAGTAATAAAATCGGCCCAATAGACCTCAAACACAAATTAGTGTTTACAATAAATGTGATCATAAAAATTTTATTAAACAAAAACAATAATAAAACTATTGCATACGAGTATGTACTTAATCAAATACAATAAATATCAATCAACTTTTAATTTTGTGATAATTACAATGTAAATGTTAAAATCAAATTTAATTTTTATGCTTATATGTTATTTTAATCAATTATATAATGATATTGTTAGAAAAAATAAATAAGAGAAAAGAAATAATATAAAAGAATATTGGGTTGAGGTGTAAAAAATATTTTTTAAAAGATAATTATGTATTTAGGATACAATAATACCTTAAAACTCTCTAAATAGATATATATATACTAAAAAATTTATTTATAATGAATGAACAGACACAAGCCTCTATTTAAATGGTTATAACCTTTTTATATAATCATAACCTTTATGAACAATAATCTTTTTATATTCAAATTGTTATAACAATTTGTCATATGATAATTGTTTCTGTTTAAACATAATTATTAAAAATATGAATAAAATTAATACAAAAATTAACTTTACTCATCAATATTTAAAATTTTTCTATCCAAATGTGGAATACACTTCATTCTAAACTACCAACAATTCCCCACTAGTTTGGAATGTTAGTGCTTAATCTTTAACATTCCACACAAATAAATATTATGAATATAAGAAGGTATATTTCGATTTAAACCTTCAATTAATGTATATATCTTAAAATTTTAATGAAGTTGATGGTGTTTGTAGATTAAACCTCAACTTCTAGTATCAGAATTGAAGATATAACATATATAATATTTATTTATTTTTCTGTCAGAGGTTTATAATCGCTTTAGCACTATTATGATTATGTGCTTATCCTATTCATAAACATTTACAAGAGAAACCATCATTCTTCTTGTTGAAGTGACACTACTTTTATGTTTATATAGGTAGAGTTTCTATTATGTCTTCATTGCTTTAGATATTTAAAACTCCATTAAGAGTATAAAAACTCATCATCCCCAAGTAATGAATCATACTAGTACTTAATAGACATATAACAATAACTTGTTTTTACCATTAAACTTTGTAATTAGAGGTTACTAATTTAAAGTTGGGTTTCCATTATTAGTGTCTAATTGTAAGGGTTTAAATCAATTCTACTTATAGTACTACTAACAAATATCTTAAAATTCAATTTTCTTTTATGGTAATTATTTTCACCTATATTGAATCTCTAATATAATCACTTTAGGCTAATATGTTCAAACTTTTCATTTTGCATATAATTTTTACGTTGTAGACATTATTGCCTCGTTCTTATCATTTTAAGAAATAGTTGGTATTAGTTGTGGCCACAACTTTATACTTATACAATTGAATAAACTTAATGAATAAACCAAACCATTTTAGTCCTTTTAAGATTTTTAAAGATAATTTTATGATTTTAATTTAATAAGTGCACTAAACTTAGTAGCTTATATAATTTGCTCATAAAATTATATTAAAATGTTATAACACTATGGTGATAATTTTAAGTTCTTTTAATTCTTATCACTCCCACCATGTGCAAGTATGTATTTTTCTTATTAAAGAATGTCTCATTTAATTATCAAGATATTATATATATTTAATCAAGCTACCATTTCATTTATCTTTTCACTATTTGGTTTTTTTTTTTTTAATAGAAGGTTTTCAAATCTACCCTTAGTGAAAAATAACTAGCAAATATTTTAATATTTCTATACAAGTTTCTAAACTTTTATATTTTAACTCAATATAAAAATTTGCATCAATAAACAGATTTCAAATATAATCATACTTCTATACTTTCCTTTTAAGACTTTTTATGTCAATTTATAAATACTTATATGAATCTATTTCATTATGGATACTATTAATAATTTTTATTATCATGAACAAAACCATTTGCATCACCTAAATGGATCAAATAACTTTCCTTTTATTATTATAAAAGTTTTTATATTCACAAGATCTTTGAATTAATCATGGCTTCCAAAGTAAATATACTTTAAAATTTTCACTATATAAAACCATAGATGATAAATCATATATACAATCCATGAATTAGACTATATACATAATGTCATAACGTATAGATTTGTAGACCTATAGCTCGACTTGACTTTAAGAGTTGCCACCAATATTTTTTATATATGTGTGATTGGCCACTTAACTGAATCTGTCTCATTTTAAAGAATAGTCCTAAGCTTTAACTTAGATATCTTTAAAAGGAAGATTCCAATCCATAAAATCATAACTAGTTTCAAGGGTACAGTTACATGTAATAAAAGTTATAACACCCTCATAACGCCCATCAAATAATGGTACCAATTTGATTTCATATTATTTAAACCCTAAAATGTGTTTGTAATTTACCTAGTAAATTTAATATTGAAAATTGTTCTTTAAATTACTTTAATCACTTGGAAGCAATTTAAGATAATTCATTCACCTCAATTGTATTTATAAAGACTCTGACCCATTCTGAAAAGACTCCTTCATCAAATTTATTAACATATTTTTTAAGAAATCATTTTTTTGAAATCAATCAATAAAATTCTTCAATCTTTTAGTAGGATTTTATATTAATGCATATTCTCCAGTCATTTTGGGATATTTTATTTGAAAACCTTCTTTATGAAAATTTTAAAAATAAAAATAATTAAATCCTTCAATAATTTGATAAAATTTAACAAAAATTTGAATCCTCTAATTATTTGATAAGATTGAAAAATATTATTTTAAAAACCCTTTTTTTAATTTGAAAAAAAATCAATTAAAATAGACAAAAATCATCATGCAAATAATATCATGTAATAATATAATATGTCATACAATAATCATGCAATAAAATACAATAAATATATTAATAATTATGCAAGTAAATGTTCTAATAATCATACAATAAATATATTAGCAAAAATGTATTAAATCATGCAATAAATTAAATATATTCAAAGCTAGTGTATATTCAAAGCTAGGTGTTCTCTTTCCATTTGTCTTACAAGCTGGGAAGAAGCAAGTAAAACCAAGTTCTTAAGTTTTTGCCACATGAAAGAAATCTCGAGTAGGTGGGAAAAACAGATGGTGAAATTTTTGTTACTCAAGGTGGTATAATGGGATTCGATTTATTGGGGGAATTTACTTTAAAACAAAAGCAGAAGTTGATAGCAGATAAAAATTTGGTTTAATTTTAATTCTTTCATTGATCTCATAGATGAAAAGGTCATCATTTACACAGTTCAAACCCTTCTCTCATCCTCAACAAAAAAGACCCAACTGCAAGCTATTGAACATAATCATCATCATCATTGCATTACTCAAAAACAAACACCTAAACGGCTTCCAGAAAGGCTGGTTTCTATTCAGAATCAGATTCCATATTACCCATAGCCTTTAATCCCCTGCGTCTCTGCACAAAAAAGAATACAAAGATTTCAGCTTCATATATATATATATATATATATATATATATATATATATATATCTATAGTGGTTATATCTAGGAATAAGAAAAAAGATAAACAAAACAAATCCAATTAATGTAGATGAGCTATCTCAAAAACCAGATTTCATGCATAATAAGTATTATTTAAGAAAATAAATGCATAAAAACATCATGCAAAAATAAACTATTTTTTTTCTTTTTCAAATTAATATAAGGAAAATAATAAAAATGGAATTAAAACAACAAATAATAAAATAGAAAAACAATAAATAAAATAAGGAAAAGAAAAAAAATGCAATAGCCAAATGGGTCAAAACTCGCGGATCTAAGCCGGGTCAAAGTTCGCTCGAAACCTTCTCTTCTCCTATTTTCTTCATAGCACTCTTAACTTTCAACAATCCCTTTTTGAATCAATCTATGCTCCTCTAATTTTGTTCTTCGTCAAAACCCAGAACCAGAAAATACCAATCCAAATCTCGATAACCAGCCGCTGTCACAACCACCATCAGTCACCAAGGTCGTTCATCGCCTTTCGTCACCTGTGAGCACCATCAGTCTGCCATGGCCAACACCACCGAAAGATTCCAAATCCTTCTAGTTCTTCTTTCTTAGTCCCTCATTCACACCGCAATACCAAAGCCAAACTAATACCCACACCCAAGCTTAGCCCTAATTTCATGCAATTGATCCCAAACCTTAAAATCGATTTTCTGTCAATAGAATGGCGTTTACTCTTGTTGTTGAATTTTTTATGTATGTGCAATTGCTTGTGTTTTTTGTGATTGTTGATATGCGTGGACTGATTTTTTTACTTGGATTTTTCTGGATTGGAGATTTTGAAATTTTGGGCTGATTTCTTATGGTTAGTATATGGGTGTGCTGGGTATTGAGTTTTTTGGGAATTGTTTCTACTGAATTGGAAATTGCTTGGGGAATGGCGGGTTTTCTGGGTTGATCGTTAGGTTTTGTTTCTGGAATTGGCTTGGGTTTTCTAGGTTGGAGATTGGTTTTCAGAATATGCGAGACCAATTTTTCTGTTGATTGAATTTGTGTTCTCTGCTTTGATTACTGCTCTGTATCAACTCCTGGAAATTGAATTTGACTGATGTTGTGGCTGATAATTGCTTGGTAGGAATTCGAACTTGTGTTCTGGTTTGTGTTCACTACTAAATTTTTGCCTGAACTTCTTTTGTTGAATTCCATTTGGAAACTGCTTGTAAATTACTTCTTTTTAATCAACTTACTTGCTTGATCGATTTGCTTTCTAGATCGCCTGTAATTCAACTTTTTTCCAAATCCAAAACTCTTCACAATTTTTTTCTAATCTCATTGTCCTCTATTTATGAAACTATGGTGCTGAATTTATAAGGATTTTTGTTTCAAATTCAACAAAAGTCCCCATTTAAAGGAGTTTCAACTCCATTTTAATTCAAATTTCAGACTTTGGGTTCAACCAAAACTTTGTAATCCGAAAGAATTCCAATCCTTAACCAATTCGGTTTTACTTTAACTATTTTTTAAATAATAATAATAATAATAATTTTAAACTAAATGTAATACTAAAAATAAATAAAAAAATTTAAAACCTAATCTTAAAATATAAATTGATCTCGGATTAAAATGGAGTGTTTACAATTCCTTTTTTTTGCATTTTTTTTTATGAAACAGAAATTTTACAAAGATATAGACATTCATTACGTTCGGATTTGATACAAAAAAAAAAAATCTAGAGATTTTCATTTACAATAAAAATTCGTAATTCGTAACTAAAATTTAAAAGTTTGCAACTGAAAGTTTAAACACTCGTAATTTGAAATTAAAAGATTCTCAACTTGAAGTTTAGAAGTTCGTAATTAAATTTAAAGATTCTCAATTTAAATTTAAAGACTTGCAAAATATTCAAGGTTTTCTCAAAAGTTTAAAGATTTGCAAAAATTTAAAGATTCATAAAGAATCAAAGATTTGCTAGAGATTTAAAGATTCGTAAAAATTCATGATTCACTTAAATCTTTTATATTTGTAAAAAATTTAATGATTACAAAAAATTTAAAGATTTGCAAAGATTTCAAATATTCATATTTGATTTAAGATAACGATTCAAAAGATTGCAAAAGATTTAGGATTTAAAAAAATTTAAGATTTGCAAAGAATTCAAAGATTTGTAAGAATTTCAATTTCACAAGAATTATCAAATTCATAATAATTTTCATATTCGTAAGACTTCGCAATACTTTTTCTTTTTTGCAAGAATTTTAGCTTCATAAGAATTGAAAAGATTTTTCTAGTTTCGTAAGAATTTCAGTTTCACAAGAATTTAGATTCGTAAGAATTTCATATTTGCAAGAATTCAATTCTCAAGGTTTTCAGGTTCACAAGAATTTGATTATCAAGGATTTTAGGTTCTCAAGAATTTTTAAATTTGTAAGAATTTCTTGATGATTCACATTCAAAATTCACATTCGAAATTCTTAGAGATTCACATTCAAAATTTCAAGAATTCTCATTTAAAACTCAAAGATTCTCTTGTGAAAATTCTTAGAGATTCACATTCAAATTTCCAAGATTAAAATTCTTAGAGATTCACATTTAAAATTTCAAAGCTAAAATTCTTAGAAATTCACATTCAAAATTTTAAAAATTTTCATTTAAAATTCAAATATGCTCATTTGAAAATTCTTACAAATTATGTTCAGAAGTCTTATAAATCATTCTCAACATTAAAAATGCTCTTTAAAAAGACTCCACAACTTTAAAATTCTAAACATTTTCCTTATAAAATAGTTTCCTTGTTGGCTTTCCTCAAAAGTTTCAAATTTCTTCTTATTAAAAATTTCAATTTCTTATTAAAGTCAAAATTTGTATAAAATGAATGTCATGATAATGATGTAAATGCTTTCTAAATGATGCAAATACACCAATCCAGATTCTCACAATAATGCATATGCCATACTCTAAACCATGATTTAAATGTTCGCTATATGATGCAAATGCGTGTCCAAACCATGATGCAAATGCAATTATTAAAACAAAAGATTTAACTATTCACCAAATTATATACATGTATTGTGTAAACAACAATGTAAACACAATGTATGAAATGTAGATGTCACTAACATCAATGTCATAAAATTTCAATTAATTATGGTAATAAGGTTCTCAAGACTCAACCATCTCATCTTATTCTTTTTTAACTTCTTAGCACTAATCATTTTAGAACAAATTTCGTCCACTGATCCTTATTATTTCTATCATTTGATCAGAACTCATAAGTTACGTTGACCAATCTATGACCATATTCATCACTTGGTTATCCTATTTGCCTTTTTAAATATCTTCTTAAGCTTTTTTCATCTTTTTCATTTGCTTTTTTTTTTGCCCATATCATTTTGGATTTCTTTTCAAAGGAATACAAGAATCTTTTATGAACATAATCATTCATTCATTATCATTTCAATTCATGACAAATATAATGTAATTGTATATTTCCTTGATTTATTATAGGGATGCAAAAATGAGATAAGACAAGGTGAATTGAGAGAAAAGATAATCAATACAAGAACAAGTTTGGTACAGAAAGAAATAAGCAAAGGAACAAATTCAAAACATGTCAATAGGATAAGTATTTGAATGGTATAACAATGTCCAATCAATGAATATTTAGACAATTTTTAACATTAACCCAAAATTTTTTTTCAAAACTCATTCCATTGACTTTCAAATCATTTTGAGTTTATCAAACTTTGCTCCAGTTCTAAGAGATCTTCAGATGTCATTGATTTTTCATATATTTGACTGCCCATTCAATTTCTAGCTCAGATGTTTTTCTACTCAAATCATCCTTTCGAATTTTCAATTTGAGTTTTCCTTTTCTCTTTTTTTTTTTCATTTTTCATATTTTTTATTTTTATTTTTCATATTTTTATGTTTTTTTTTCATTTTTCATTTTTTTCCTTCATCCATTATTGACATCTCTTACACATCAATCTCTAAAACATGAGAACAGATCAAGATTCCATTGCTCTATTACAAGCATGCCTTAGCTTAATATATGATCATTCAATTCGAGCATTCACATTTAATCAAAATGAACTTTTAAGGGTTGTAATGTAGGTTATAGTAAGGGGTCACGAAAGAAATGGATAAAATAGGCTCAAAACATATATTCAAAAGGTTCAAACCAAAGAATCATTCCTCATCATGTGATACAACTTGGCATTTTGCTCCATTTCACATCATTTTATTATTTTTTTATTCATTCATCTTATTTCTCACAAAAGAATTCTCATCACTTTGCCCCAGGTCATTTATGACATTCTTTTTTCTTTTCTTTTCATTTTTTTTTATCCTTGAGACCTCTTATGATCTTTTAGTTTTTATTTTTTTTTCAAATAGGTTTCTTTTTAAAGCTTACCCTATAATGTGAAGGGTGATCTTTGGTTGGAATTTTTTAGAAAAAAATTATAACAGGCACAAAAGAAATAGCAATGAACGATTTCATTTTTATGAATGGTAAAAGAAAGATGATCATTCTTCATATCAAATGTGAATACTTTCTTTGAGGACCATTTATTGAACAAAGACAAACTCATAGATCATTTCAAGACATGTCCATTTTCATTTTTTTATGAATGATATCTGCTCACAAATTACTTTTTTTGCTTAAATAATCTCCACAGATCAATATGAATGAGTTTTCAAAATTAAACTTAGAATTATTGTTTATCATTGTCCAAGCATTAATCATTTGGAATTTGAGAATGAATAAAAAGATACAAAAAAATAGAATAGTGATTTGGATTAAAGAGAAAATGTAATTAAAATCCATTATACTTGTCTTTTTTATTAAAATGATAAAAAATAAAATCTTAGTATGCAAAAGAAATTTTATCATTACTCTAAAAGAAATCCAAAAATGATAAACAACTTTCAACCAATTTTTTTGTATCATTTCCCAAAACTATGCCCCTGGGTAATCGAACAAAAAGTTTTTATTGATATTCAACGTTCTTGATTCATCAAAACTCACTTAGCCTACTCGAACCAAACTTTACACCTTATGCTTGAAAGTAAGACAGATTTTTATAAAGTGACTCACATTCTCATTGTGATAATCGCATGTGACATTAATATTATACCACTAGGATATGATGGCTTCAAAAGTTCTAACTGAACTTCAGATATCATATTATTCTTGACTAATTCTGGGAATAACTCGATGTAAGTCATAAAGATAGGATCAATACGAGCTTTTTCTTGATTATTTCAAGATTTCTTCAAACTATTCACTTTATTGTTAGGCTTTAAAGCTAGTATAGTGATAAGACTAAGCCTATATGCTAGTATTTGAAAGTTGGTTAGTAAGTTGATGGATAAGCTGGTTATGAAAAAGGTTGGTAAAGAGCTTGTGCAATATTATTAACTGTAAGGTAGTAAGTAAGATGAACAGATGGTGGATATGAAACATAGCTTCTGAATTGTTGCCCTTTAAAATTCATAGCATGGGCTTCAATTTTTTTTTATTTAGGCATAATTTCTTTCTTTGTACTAGTGGTCTCTTCTTTCTTAAGCTTGCCACTTCTGATGGCATTTTCAATAATGTCTCATGAAATCACCATATCAATAAAGTTTTTTGTTACATTCCTTATCATTTTCTCATAGTAAGGTGACTTCAGGGTGCTCACAAATAACACTATAATTTTTTTTCGATCAAAGGTGGTTGACCTTAGATAGTTACATCCCTTCACCTTTAAGCTTAGTCACTTTTTTCTTCATGTTCTGTAAAAAGAGACAATCTGGAGCTAAGTTTATAATGTGTAGATATTGGGTGATGAATGCTTTAGCCAATTCTTTCATAAATGATGTAATTTTTATCAAGCTGAATATACCATCTGGTAGCAGAGCCTGTTAAACTATTTAGAACAGATGAATCATAAGCTTTTCATCATAAGTATGGACAACCATTTTTCGATAATACATTGTAAGATGAGTCATATGACATTTAGTCCCATCATACTTCTTAAACTTAGGGACTTTAAACTTGGGTGGAACTACCACATCAGGCACCAAACACAATTCAGAAGCATCCATGGACCCAAATAAGTCCATCCTTTCAACAGCCCAAAATCTTTCTTCTAATAGATTCTTCTTTTGAAAAGATGAGTCTTCTACTAGTTTAGAGGTATTTAGTTTCAGTTTTTTTTTTTTTATTTTTTAAGATCATTAAAATCAAAAACTTAAATAAGATCATATACCTTTCAGTAAGATAGGATTAGTATAAGCTTGGAATGTTTTTGGAAAACTACAGATGACATTCCTAGGTAAGCATATAGATATGTCCTAAAAAAAAGTTATTATCCTTATGC